CCCCAAAACCCCAAAACCCCAAAACCCCTTTTATGATATGGGAAATTGAGATGTAATAATTAAGATTAGAAATATGTCAATAAATACTTGAAGTGAAGATAAGTGATTTGCTTGACAACAACTCTTTCCAAAGACTTATCTTCAATATATTGATGATAAAAATGATAATCTACACCAGAAGGAGAAGAGAGGAATCCCTCTTAAAAATGAGAAATCTGAAGCCCATTCTGAAATGAAGCTTCGTTTTTGTTCCAACTGTATGCCAAATGAGAAAATCAAGTCGATTAGAAATAAGTTGGAAGTCCCGGAGATTTCAGAAGATATCTTTCATAAAACTGAAGATTCACATGGTAAATCAGGTAATGCTTTAAACAAACTTATATTTCCTTGACAGATATGACTTTACGATTCCAAGGCCAGTGTACATATTTTGGAAAAAGAACAATATTTATATTACTAGTGTAACTCTTACCTTCAAAATTTAAAACCGCTTTATAAGGCTGAATATCTTTCCACTGAATGAGATATTCTCTCCTATCACCTACCTAAAAGACTCGTTCTAACACTAAAGATACTAATATAAAAGCATGCTCTCGTAAGGAGTAAAATACTATACATCAATACTCCTACATGGACGCATTAAGAAACCGTCTGAAGAAAATTCAAAATTTTTTTACACTTCTCATAATCTTTTCGAGGAATTTTGACTTCTTGCAATAACATGAAAATTCTTAAAGAAATCAATTATTTTATCCCGTAAAAATTAGAAATAAATTTCATTGGTTTCACCTTTGATAAAGTTTTACTCTAAGTGGTGAAAGGTGTAGATATTAAAGTGTTGGTAGGTTTTTATTAGCAATAATAGTGTGTGACACTGAAAAGCATATGAAACCTCCACCTCAGTACTATCAACTGAGCATAACTCTACTGTGTTTAAAATTTATTGTGTGATTTGTAGCAATTATGTGGACTCCTTAATTCTGTTGACTTTTATCTAATATTGGTTTAGCCAAGTTGTTACTGCCCCTTTCAAAAGTTTCAAAGAGTAAGCCAAGAAACACTTCTGTTTATTTGAATAAATCTGATTGATGAGTTTCTCAGGGAGCCAGAATAGGAGGAAGTACTATTGAGCCTAAATCTGTGAAGAGGGTGAAGAATAAGTTTGAGAGTCATAGAAGAAAGTAATATATAAAATTGCGATTTAAGTTAGTCTTCACTTCGTCCATCTTTTTGAGTCACTCAAATCTCCAAGTTTTCTAATCTTGAAATTTTTTCTATTCTTTTATATTATTTATCGGAATTTATACCAGTTAAATAGTTTTCTCACCTAGATGTTATCACTTTATTAGAAAAAATAAACCAAGCAAACCCCAATCCTTAAAATAACGTATTATTTAAATCAAATGAAGTATGAACACTAAATTATGAAATAAACTTCATCTTGGTAATAAGTTTAGTACAATTTTTAATAACACAAAACTATAAAATTCTCCTCATAACTCTAATGAACTATCACTAACCATTAATCCACACACAGAATTCTCAGATTTCCATACTATTTTTTCTTAGAAAATTGATGAATCGATTGAAAGTTTATTAATCAATCATATTTTTAGCTTGATGAAATCCTTCAGGAAACTTGAGATGATTAAACAGGATTTTGGTAAGAACTTCAGTGATTATTTTGTAGAGGAACAAAGAGCTAAAGATAAAATTTTTAATGTAACCTCAGACAAAACAGGTAAATTTACTTACCCTTTTGAATAATTCTTATTCCAGAATATAATAACAGGCTTTTACATCGTTATAGATTTTGCCAGCATGATGTCCAGGTACTGAGAGCCTGAGTAATCTCTATAGGCGGTTTAGTAATAAAAAGGATGAAAGTATTCATAAGCAAGAAAATCCTCAGCTTCATAAAAGCTATGTACCTAAGACTGTTTCATATTTATAGAATGTATTTTATTTGAAGGAACTTGATAAGAGAAAAAGTGGCAATATCGCTAAACCTTCAAAAGTGACTCCTTCAAAAGGAAATAAATTTAAGATTATAAAGGTAAGTTAACTCTGAGTATTACATCACTTAGGTTAAGAGAAAGACAGAGTTGGGGATGAACTCAAAATCTAATAACAAACCCTTGACAAGGCTTACAAAGATGAGGAGAAAGAGCATATCGAGTTCTTCTGAAAGTTTTTCTTACAAAGAAGACTCTAATGTAAAGGCCAATGATAAAATTAAGTGAGTGAGCCTTCAAGACTACGTCTAACAGATGAAATAGGGAGGGTAGAATACCCACATTAAGTACAAACCAGATGACAATGAGTACTCAAGGATTTCTTAATATTCCAGTTATAAACATGGAAAAGTGAGTAATTCACGACCCATTTCTAATTTATGACTAGTTCTAAAACTCCGATCAATCAAAACTCTTCTAAAGTAAAAGATCTTTGCAACAGCCCCTTGATTAAAAATCATTCTTCAAGGAACACTAGCTCCATCATTGGAAGGAGGATGGGCAAAAACCTATCTGCAATAGGCCCTCAAAATACTAAAATTTCTGCTGACTGAAGTAAAAGTGCGACTGTGAAGAAGTGTCCAAACCCTAGCAAATTTAGTTTCTTACAAGTTGAGACTAACAACCAATCTTCAAGGTAAAGATAGGTTTTAGATGGTATATAAGAGAAATAATTTTAATGATAATTATTGCCTAATTAGGAGTAATAACACCCTAATGGCTCAATAATTTATTAAGTAAAGCATATTCTCGACATATTTGACCAGGAAGAGAAGATGTCTAATATTTTAATTCACTCCTGTAGTAAATAGAATGAAGAATAAATTTACCGTTAAAAAGCAGAGTTTTATTGATCCATAGCGATTATTTACCTTAGTTTTCTTTCTTCCCTTCACCAATTGTAAAAGCATAATGGAATACAGGCTATTTTTATCTTTAAATTAGGAGTTTATTTTATTTCTTTTGTCTATTCTCTAAACCAACATAGAGAAATAATAAAAATATTCTAAAATGTTTAATTTAACCATTCCATTATTTAGAATTAAAAATCCTCCAAAGTCTCAACTAAAACCAGATCTGAAGCCTATCAAGAAGCCTAAGAAAACTTGTGTGGTCAATGACATCTTTTATTCGATGTTAAGAGTGGATGACTTGATCTCTTCTCAGCCAGCTACTTCTGAAACACACAAGCAGATGACTATAATTAAGTCCTACCTTGGGAAATATTCGGATCTCTTTAAGAAAACTCAAAGTGAATTGCTCCAAATTGAAGTGAGAGAAGCAGATGACTTATCTCAACTCAGCCAGTTCTTTGATAGAATAAGAAAAGAACTTGACTCTAAAGAAGAACTTCTTAAGGCTAAGTACAAAAGTATGGTGAACTCTTATGAAATTTCGCTCAGCATGGACTTGGAGTTCCTTGAAACTAAATGAAGACACTTATGAGAAGTTATTGACTCAAACTCTCAAAAATTAAAAACTTTTACGAAAATGAAGTAAGGAGACATCTTTATACTTTAGACCAAACAGTTCTGAAGAAATCATGAACAGTTACAACCTAGAGTCAATCTTATTGAAAGAAAAAGCAGGGACTTATAAGCTCTCGCACAAAGACTTTACTGTTCAAGCTGAGACTTCATTCCAGTTCCCAACTGTAGAATGTAACTTCAGAAAAGTGAGAGATCTCATCAATGAAATCAATGTGATTTCTCACTCAAATCCTGAGTGTTCCAACTCCAGTCGAGAAACCTTAGGAAGTGCGAAGAAGCTGGAGAATACTAGCAAAGGTATATTACTATATCCTCATCTATAGGTCCAGATACAGACTGCAAAACTCACTACAGTGTTAGACTAGATGTTGAGCACATGGATAAAAATGAGAGTTTGGAAATTTCTGCTGAAAATAAGAGGAAATACATTAGACACTAATTTACTTCTAGGGCCTAATCAAATAATCAATATTATTAGGAATGAGGGGAAAAAAGCCTAAACTCTCATTGCTGATGAGCAATAATCTAGTCAAGTTCTATTTTAACAATTTATCATAAGAAAAGCTATACATCACAAATCACTTTTATTTGATAGTTTCTTGCTTTGAATAAATTTTGAGCAGAGGATTTTAATTCTATAAGCATTAAAAAGTTTTAAAAGAGAATTAAAATTTACTCTATTTTTACTGATTTAGTAGAAATGGCTGATAGGATATATTTTCAGATAAAATGGCGTATAATTGCACCCAATTTGTATAAAGCTCTACCTACTTTGGCATAAAAAATGTAAATATACCTAAAGAAACTTTTTAAAGTTTTATTACTTGTAAACCTAAGTAATGTAATTTAATCGATTTAGAATTCTATTCTTAAACTAGCTTAGTAAGAATATTATGCATAATATCAGCGAATTTAGCTATTAACTTTTCCTCTGTTTTCAACATCGATAAGTCCCTTAGGGGTTTTGGGGTTTTGGGGTTTTGGGG